CGCATGCACGAACAGGGGAGCTGGGGAGGGGATCGCAGCTTCAGAAGAAAGCTTCATATCCTGAAGCTCCGAAGTTCTGGATTTCACGCTATCTACCTGTCCGTAGGTATTCCTACCACCCTTTACTATGAACATATTGAACAGGAGCAAGAAGCTGTACAAGCCGTTTTTTCCAGCTTTTTGTACGATCCCCTGGTGATCCCCGGGGGACGACCGGTTCTTCTTTAAAGTCATTTTTCTTTCTGCGAAGTTAACGAAAACCATCCAAAGTTGTACTGAACATCTAATACAACAGTGCTAAGCATGTTGCTGATGAGAACAAATGAGTTTTTGAAAAGTCGAATTTTCCGGTAAACCTCAAATTTTGACCTGTGGATCATCGAAAATTTCATGACTTCAAAACATCAATTGTTCTTACCAGAAATATGATTAGCACTGTTGGGTTAGATAAGCAGTACAACTTTGGAATGTTTTCATTACCTTTGAAGAAAGAAAAACGACTTTAAGGCCCGTATGCACGAACATTCCTGCGGCGAGGGGAGCGGCGTCCTCCGTTATGAAGGGGCCGCGTGCGATCGCCGCTGCGGCTTTTTCATCATTGGGGATGCCGCTCCGCCTCGCCGCAGGAATGTTCGTGCATACGGGCCTAAAGAAGTGGCGGTCGTTCCCCGGGGATCACTAGGGGATCGTACAAAAAGCTCTAAAAATCCGCTTGTTCAGCTTCTCGCTCCTGTTCGGTATGTTCATAGTGAAGGATGGTAGGAATACTTACGGACAGGTAGACAGCGTGAAATCCAGAAGTTCGGAGCTTCACGATATGAAGCTTTCTTTTAAGCTGCGATCCCCTCTTCAACTCTCCTGTTCGTGCATGCGGCCCTAGGTATCTTTCTTCTTCCTGGGCTGTGGTCCGGAGCTAAGGTATCTGCGAGAGGAATAGCAAAGATGCTTTGCAGATAATAAGTCATTGGTGGTAGGTTCTTTACTCAAGAGCATGGTGTCTTGTTTCTACTACTACTGATACGCGAAAGGTCGGTGAAAAGATGGAAATTCTGTTTCTTGTCCCCCCACCCACTTACTAGCGACCCGTAGGGTCGCTAGTCTTATATATAAAGCTGAATGTCTGTTTGTCTGTCTGTCTGTATGTCTGTCTGTATGTCTGTCTGTATGTATGTGTGTACGTATGTTCCGAATAGAAAATTCCATTTCTGAACCGATCGGGACCAAACTTGGCACACATACACTTCGGGCCCCGGCGGGTGTCATAGGCTACTTTTCGTCATCGATCGATATCGATTTTATCGATTTTTATCGATTTTTTTGCTGAGTGCACCTACGGGGCTGGGAGTTGGCACAGGGGGGTAATCGAGCATGGGGATTCCGAATACAATATTGGTTTTCAGGGTTATCGATTACTTTTATCGATTTTATCGATTTTTTTGCAAAGTTTGAGCTACGGGGCTGGGAGTTGGCACAGGGGGGTAATCGAGCATGGGGATTCCGAATACAATATTGGTTTTCAGGATTATCGATTACTTTTATCGATTTTATCGATTTTTTTGCAAAGTTTGAGCTACGGGGCTGGGAGTTCGCACAGGGGGGTAATCGAGCATGGGGATTCCGAATACAATATTGGTTTTCGGGATTATCGATTACTTTTATCGATTTTATCGATTTTTTGCAAAGTTTGAGCTAGGGGGCTGGGAGTTGGCACAGGGGGGTAATCGAGCATGCTGATCATCCCCAAGGGGGTGATCAGCATGCTCGATTACACCCCTGTGCCAAATTCCAGCCCCCTAGCTCAAATTTTGCAAAATCGATAAAATCGATAGAAGTAATGGATAATTCCAAAAACTAATATTGTATTCGTAATCTGCATGCTCGATTACCCCCCTGTGCAAACTCCCAGCCCCGCAGGTCAAACTTTACGAAAAAATCGATAAAATCGATAAAAGTAATGGACGATCCTGAAAACTAATATTGTGTTCGTAATCGGCATGCTCGATTACCCTTCTGTGCAAAATCCCAGCATCGCATGTCAAAATTTACAAAAAATCGATAAAATCAATAAAAGTAACCGATAATTCTGAAAACTAATATTGTATTCGGAATCCCCATGCTCACTTCCCCCCTGTGCCAACTCCTAGCCCTGTAGGTGAACTCTGCGAAAAAATCGATAAAAATCGGTAAAATCGACATCGATCGATAACGAAAAGTGGACTATGACACGCGCCGGGGCCCGAAGTGTATGTGTGCCAAGTTTGGTCCGGATACGGCGGAGCCGGGTAAGCCAGCTAGTGTTTGATATTCTGAGCCCTACTTCCCAGCAGGTATGTTTATGATTTCCCTACTTCCAAACAGGTGTGTTTATGGTTTATGGGACATTCCCGAAGTCTTCTTTTCATTTCCATGATTCATAAATAACTTCTCATGAATCTCCTTTGAATTCTTTCGAACTTTATTTTCTTGCTCTTTTCCCACTTATATCCCTTGTGTGTGCGATCCTTATAACCTCGTGCATCGTCACATCATATTGCTAATGTGAGCTGCTTGATGTTACTGAGGAAAGCCCACGTAGTCAAAGTTTGTATAACAACTCTTTATAAAGGCCAATTATAACTTAAATTTGTGATCTACGTTAATTCGTTATCAAATGCGTATTTCCTTCTGACATTTCAGTGCATCTCTGTAGCTCTTCAAGAAAATTATTATCTCCTTAGAATTTTCATTCCTAGTAAAATTTACGAACGTGCATTTGAAATTTTTACGCTTTAAAAAGCATGATGCGTGCAGCAAAGAAAAGGTCGCTACCAAAGTCAATCCATGTAGATCACGCTACCAAATGAAGGTGATGCATTTTATTTGATTGCGTTTTTGATGTGGACGGTGTAAGAAAAACTTCATAAAAAAACTAAGAACTCATCACAAAAAAACGTATGCTTCCCTACTGGCATGCATGTAGTGCACATTTCAACTGAATGTGACTAGATGATGCTGCAAGGAGGCAAACGTAGGAGAGTAGAGTATGCAATCGAACTCACAAAGACCTAGGAGAGTAGAGCAAGCAATCGAACAAAAAAACCAGTAAAATTAGTTGAAAAAGACTTGAAAATGTCTTATAGGTCAAAAACATACCACCTTAGAAAGTAGCCGGCGATCTAAGTAGTGTAGAGTAGAGCGAATAACTTAAGTTATTGAATTCTAGGGAATTTGGGGGAATTAGGAATTTTCTAGAGAATTACTTCCAGAATCTCAGCGTGGAGTAGGTTACTAGCGATGTGAAACTCGTCCGCCTCCGCAGCGCGTCTGCCCAGGTCAGCTGCTCGCTCCCGCGAGCTAGCCAATCATGGAGTGACCTCTAATTAGCGCTGACCTCTTATAGCCGTCGCGATTAGGGCAGGTTCAGAAGGGCCTACACCCTCTTTACTTTCAGGCTGACAGCGTCGCCAAAACCCCATTTTTCGACATGAGCGAGAAATCTATCAAAATCGTAAATTCGAAGACCTTTTTTTTTCTCTATTACTTTTCACGTGGTTTCTTCGTGCACTCATAATCTTGCTTCTGTCTACGACGTAATCAACGTCGCCGTAACTGCTTTTCCTTCTATGGTGAAATTTTTGGTAGAAAGCAGCAAACTGCGTTTTCTTTGCAGTTATGTTTCGGAGTGAATGCGCAGCCATTCTTTCATAGGGACTTCTTACTCAGCATGATTAGCAGAATAATGCAGACACGTCGTTGAAAGCAAAAACGACAATGCGGAGGTAATAGAAATTCAGGACGCATTGATAATCTTGTTTGCTTGCTGGAATCTCTCAAGATCGTTTTGCTGGCAAAAAAGGGAGCATGGGTGCCATCTCAATGGATCATTAAATTCGACTTTGATGATTACAGTCATAGAGCAGAAACACACAAGCTTAACTGTGACTCTTCTAATCATTTGGCACGAGCGGCACCAGGGAAATTTCAGAACGAATTCCCCTTTGTCCTTGAAAATTTTGTACAAAGTTACTTTGACCCTAAACCCTAAACGTAAGAAAAACCACAAAAAACCGAAACGTTGACTATAAAAAGTCGCCACTTTTGTGTCTTTTCGGCCACAAAAACGATAGCCTCTTTCCTTCCTGTCCCAAAAACGATATCCAGCTTGACCCGGTGCCAGCACCTGCTTCTAATCCATATCAAAAGGATGGATCCGGAATGTGATGAACTATTGTTACGGTTGGTGTTTGAGTATGTGCGAGTAACCATGTGTTTCTTTCGTAAGGAACGCCAAGAGCATATTTTTCATAAAAACAAAAAACAAATAAAATTGGGTTTGATGTGATTTTTGGCTTCAGCAAATTAAAACCTTTCGTATTCGTAACGGATTGTATCCCGTTTATGATCTCTTGGCAATCACCACTTGTGAAATGTCATTGGCTGTTGCTAATCAGCTCAACTTTTTGTTTCCTTCAAATTTTCAAAGACAACCTTCACTTTTTACGTGGGCAGGATTACAAAAAAAATTTTCTTCTGCGGCTTCATCTCTAAACTATTGAAGGTGTGCATAGGAAGCACTTGTCGAATTGAGTAACTATTTCCGAGTTTCTGTCTACAAGCGGCAGGCAACGCGCAAGCTTTAGTTGTTAGAGCAATCAATTACAAAAAGTGTCCCGAACGCGTGATTAAATTGTATCACGGACTTGTAGTAGGATTTTAATACGATCATTTAAATCAAAGACATCGCTCACCTGAAGTTTGACCCGCGTACAAAGCAAGACATTTTAGACCTTACAATCTCGATTGTAATAGTGGTTGTAGATGAAATGGTTGTTCTGTTGATATAAGACTGCACTAGATGTTTATCACTATACTATACATTATGTAAACGTTCTCAAGTGAATGTGTGAAAAGAACGAAACAGACGTATGAGTATTTTCATGTATCTTTTCTACACTTTTTTCACACCAGTTTGAAATTTTTAAGTTGTACAACAATCTCAGTCTTGTATTCCTGGAATAAGCAGAAAAAAACAACAACACATCTATACATAACCTTTCAAAGTTTCGCATATGCTAAACACTTTCCCTTCTACAATGGGCAGGATCTTCTTGGTGAAAACACATTGTCCCATGTTTTCAAACTTCGTTTGTCCACCACCAAGTGCATCAAATAAGCTGAACATTTTATAATGCTTCTTTAGTTGAAGGAAAGAATAGAAGCGGCAAAATGATTTGTGATGCACATCATTGGATACAGCTTCAAACATTGAGCTTAAATTTGCCTGAACTTGTGAGTATCTTATTGCAAAAGCAATGCTTTTTCTTAATTTCAATGAGAAAGTACAAAAATTATGAGCCTAACTGAATATACACGCTGTAAACGTATTTCTTTGTCCTTTAAAATGTTAGCTTTTAGCAAATAGCTTTCAAAATAGATTTGTAGGCCTTTAATTGATGAATGTCTGAATGTAATCTACTTCAAGACTATTTCAGATTAATTCAAATGATTTAGCAATGAGTTTGAAATTTTTTAGTGAAGTTAAAGCGTGAAATGTAATAACATGTTAGGTTGTCCCGAAAGATTTGTTCGTTTTTACAAACGACTGTAAAAATCACGCACAATAAGAACCTGAATAAGTTTCAACATGCATTCCATGCAGCTTTTTCTTCTCTTTCTTATGGATACATTTTCGAACCATAATCTTGTATGCTTTTTTTGATAACTGCTAAAATTCTCCACCCGTCAGTTTTATCTGCTCAAAGTTAGGCTATTTTTGAAAATTTCATATCAAAGCTTCGGGAAAGGTTGAGCATGGATCGAACAGAGCAATTCTCGGATTACAAGATAACTTTTTTGTATTCTCCTAGTCTGTTGTTTTTAGCAAAAATTATTTTTTTGGAGGTCTCGATTTTTGGCCAAGTCATGAAAAACTGCAACAAATACTCGAAAGCTTTGAAATTTCTGTAAATTGAAACATGATTCTTATTAAACATTATTTATGCGACATAATCAAGTTTGATTTGCTTCGAAAAAGCAGCTTGGAATTTTCGGTTTTACATGGGAAACGTAATCAAAAAGCGGTTTTTAATGAATAAATAATTATAACGGATTTGGTAAAGGTGGCCGATGTAATCTAAAATGAGTACAATATAGCCAAAGGTTTGTTCTGCATGGAGGTTACCAGCCCTCTTTGAACACATTAGGATAAAAATTTTTAAAATTCAGGAAATATTTGGCGTTATAGCTGAACTGCTCAAAAAGCCATGGCGGTAACATTGCAAAGACAGGGCAGATCAAAGAGAAAATGTAGTTGTATGAAAGAGGATAAAAATCTGAATTAAGTGGTACCTATAATTGCCCATGGATTGGTGTTCTGTGAATTTCAGTGATCGATGAAAGAAACGGACAAAACTTTCGGGACAACCTAATATTATTAGAACATCCTTCTCCACCCTCACGAAATATCACCTTATTATATAGCTGGCAACTTGGCTCCGCCCGGTCCTGTCAATAATATAATCGTAGTCAGCATGTTTACATACGTGGCGACACCCAAGCTCATCAAGAGAGCAAATTTTTGCACTTTTGTGCTACGATTTTTTGATTTTTTGCAAAAATTGATATCTATCGATAAAGAAAAGTAGCTTACGACATCCATACCGCCCCGAAATGTATTTGTACAAAGTTTGATCCGGATCGGTTCAGAAAGCTCAAGATCCTTTGAAAGTCTTTACTTGGTGAGCATTTTGTAACTCAAAACTTCGCGATTACGATGCGCATTTTTTGAGGACAATTCTAAGCATATTCCTTGCACATAGAGCAAGCAGAACAGGAATTTCAGGTTATTCTTATCTTTGAAGGCATGAGTTTCGGCTTGAACAAAGACTTCCGAATACTAAAGAGTGTATAAGAAAATAGAAGAAACGCCTTTCACAGACCATAAAAAGTTTCCAAGCAAAACGGTTCCCTTTTTATTGCGTAATAATCCAGGCAACGTTCCAGGAAACAAGAAAGGCAGTGCGGGGGGTGAAAATTTAAATGGCGCATCGAAATCTAGATTTATTTGACGAGCATGGCCACTTGGTAAAACAAAACTTTGCTTTTTCATAACTAACTCCTTTCTTGTTCATATTCTTCTTGATAATCACTACTTCCGAAGCATGGTGGTTTTCGAAACAATACAAGGAAAAAAATCAGCTACTCCTCATTTTCACCCCGCGTTGTAGAGTTCTGGTCTTCAATTGGAAACCTTCGAATTGTTGCCAAGTGAAAGATTCCAAACTCGTTGCAGCTTTTTCATCGGTTTTTGAAAGTTTACTTTGTTTTATCTGTTTTGCATCTTTTTTCTATGGTTTTCTTCAAACAGTCTTCACCTTCGAGGGGCACATATCCGAACACCTTCGCTTTTGAGGCCTTAACGCCTGACTACATATGGAAGGTATGCCATTTGATGCATAAATGTTCATCTTTTTTCGATACTAACAACTACATTCTTAATGAGCGTAGGCTAGAAATTTTCTTTCCGCAAAACAGTTTTATAAAAGAAACCAGCACATTATTTGCCTCATTATTTCTTTCAAAACGAGAAAATGTTGCTGAGCTAACACGTTAGTAGGGCGCATCACTGTATGCGTAGATAAAGTAAATGAATAGATAAAATATAATGAAATCATGTCTGGTTGAGAAATGATTGATATTGAATGTGGTAGACATTAGCCTGCTCTATCCAGTAATGCATCATATTCAAAATTGCCCTTTCAATGAGATACGAGAAATGCTAGCTTACCTGCGTGCTTGTTCATTAGCGGCTGGATACATCGCTTTCAGATGCCGATATATTTTCATATGATGGACCATAGGCAGCACTTCAGCGAGCAACGTTCGTGCAACAGCCTAAATATTAGTATTTTTCATCAAAGTTTATACGCCCACTTACAGCTGGATCACCTCGTTGTCGGCATATAGTGGACTGATACTGAGATAGTTCATGAGCACCGATCTTATACAACAGTAACCCACGACATCACCAGATTCGTTCAAAGCTACCTAAATGTTACCTATATATACATAAAGCTTAAAGTTTGTGAATAAGTATGTTTCCGCGAAGTATGTGTCCCTAGAAATCTTTGTGAGTGAGATAATTAGCGCCAAATCTTGCACAAATATATTTCAACCTCTCGCATATGAAGTTTTGCGGCGATTTGCTCAGTCCTTCTATGATTTTATTAATTCATTTATTTACATCAAGGAATGGAAGGCTCATCAACCATTACCGGGTGTTTTCAAAAGTCTTGTAGAAAAGGAGGTATTAGGTCGTCAAAAATAATTTCGTTTTGGCACGAAAATCTTCTGAAAACTTTCCTAGTTGTTCTTTATTCATGATATTTTCTGGAAAAGTAGTTTAAAGCTTCTTATCACATATCAACTATTCAGGATTTTAAGTTATCAGTAAGGGAACATTTATGCCCCAACATGGCTAAAATTCCGCAAACTCAAATCTACAACTTTCAAAGCTTTATTTTGCTCTAATGGGTGCAGAGAACTTCAATTTGGTATTCGGATACAGACAAGTTTTCCCTACTTAGCGATTATCAATAAAAGTTGTGATCTGCCGTTTAAAAATTCTCTGACCCAAAAAACAAAGTTTTCTCATATTTGCGCGCAATGAGAAACTTGGAAATTCTTCCTTCTTTGCGAATTTCTTTCATTGCAAAATCAATTCTACTCGAACAAATTTTATATCGCAATTCTTCTTGAAGTGCACTTTCCAGTAAACTTTTCGGTGCCGAGTACTGGACAAAAATTGTCTGCAGCATCTGTAGGAGCCGCAAAAGCGGCCGAAATTATTTATTAGCCAACCTAATAGATCTCATTTAAATTTCGCGGTGAGGAGGATGCGGTGTTGCGAAGCGAGGGGTTAGGAAAGAAGACGAGCCCACCACTGGATTGCTGCTCTTCGGATTGGAACAAGGACAGGATCAGAAAAGGGTGGGATGAAGAAAGAAAAACGAATTGAATCTATATTCGGACCCACGATCCAAGTGGGTCGGGAAAGCCAGCTAGTAAGACATAATGTGCAAACTTGTGAAATTGGATTCAGAATTTATTCCTCAAGTGCATAAAAATTGAAGTGCATTATGTTAACTTACTCGCCAATTGGGAAAATCGTATAAGTACCTTAGTATAGCAGTTGATTGTAGTGATGAAATTGAGCAGATAATCAGCACGATTGAGTCTGTTAACTGAAGAGTCATATGCGGCGAGTTTCTTTTCATCCACATGTTTGAGATCCTTAAGAGCGAAATTGTGAGCTTTGCATTGTTTAGAACTGCAGAATACCTTGATAATGTATTCTGGATCGCCTTTTGGAATAACGATGTGTTCGATAGGAATTGTAGCCATGTCATGTTTGTAATTGAGCATTTTATCGAAGCCGTATTTTGCAGCATACTTTCCAGACATATCCAGTACTAAAACGATAAGTAAGAAGTAAGTTGAATGTTTTGATAAAAGGTAAGCCACATTCTCAGCATCTGTGTTTACCTGATAGCAAAGCCTTATTTGAATCGCCTGCTACCTCCATAAACTTATTGAATAAGGTTGTTCCTACGTCATGTTTCCGCCAATCTTCTCGAACGAAATAGAGCCCAACCTTATTGAGACGATGTTACACAATGCAAAATTCTGGGTTCAAGAAGCGACTTACTATGTAAACGTATTCCTTGTTTTCTTCGTTATCGACAGCAGTCATTTCAGACAGCCCCATGACGCAAGCAACCGATTCTTTCGTTTCTGCAAACTTTTTTGCGAGAACTGTGTTGAAATCAGTAACAACTCGGAAGCTTTGAAGTCAACCTCACCTTTTTCAATCGCTATGAACAGCCAAAATCTCTCCCCAAAAGACCTTTTCCACGCTGTGAGGTCTTCAAGTGTGAGTGGCCATTCAGCTTTAGCCATCTAGAAATGGGATCAATAGTCAAAGCCAACAACTCACAAGGAAAGGATGGTCAGTCGAAGTGGCCTTTGTCGATGACTTGTACACGATGTTGGAGGCCATAAAACGCTGATTCCAAATCTGTCTTCATTATCTGCGGCACGTTCCTGCACGAGAAGTTACAAGTGTTTGAAGGAGCAAAAAGTGATGTTTTTCTGGAATAAAGACAGTTGCAAAAATTTTCCCAGCGCTTGAATGAGACAGCTGGAGTGCAGATATATCTCATCTAAAATTATTTCATACAGTGCTAGAAAAATTACCAGTGGTCCATTTGAGCGTTAGGAAAAATGTTACTATTGTTTTTATATTATTTGAACATCCAATTTCTTTCCCCAATAAACGCTCGTAAATTCTCGTTCAGGAGCGCGCCGCAGATAATGAAGACACATTTGGAATCAGCGTTTAATGCCCTTTAACAAGGTATACAAATAATCGCAAAACGCCACTTCGACTGACCATCCTTTCCCTGTCAGTGTAAGCATTTTGGATACCAACTTCAAAGAGGATCTGCTTATTGTTAATTGGAAGAATTATTCTGCTATATTACCAGATAGTCTACCATACTCATGTCAAACAATGTATGGAAACTATCAGCTCCAATGTCCAAAAACTACGAAAGTTAGATAGAGAATGTCATAGCTCTGAAATAGGAATCCCGAGGGGACCACTGCAACAAACCTCGGACCCGCATACATCTCAACTCGCTCCTTGTGTCCGGGTAGTTGGCGTTTATCGGCGAAGTGCATAAAATTTCTCCCGACGAACTTTCAAGTTTTCTAACTGCGCAGTTTATACGCTTCTGCGAACTGAATACCATAATTGCTTCGTCTAGTGGGTCAAATAGAGCTAAGCTCACATCAATTTCCCAAGGCTTCACGAAAGCCCCTAAAGCCCTGTGGAACGCACCTATAGTAGCAGACGAGAACATGACGCCAAGATTACCTTACGCCTTCTGAAGTTAGGCGCTTTATAGCCGTCCAGTTCGTGACTCCCCTCCGTATCCCCTAAAAAACATGGTGCAATCGGCTTGATTTTTGAGCGTTATTTTTTAAAAAATGTTAACCCAAAGTCGACGTAGATTGATCTTGCATTAGAATTTCCGGTTTTTTTTCCAAACTTTCTTTCGCAACGTCAGAACAATGCTGTGAGAATTTGTATTTTATCGCTGGTTGATGAACAGAGAGCGGTATCCTGTTCGTACTGTACATGTACTCTTCAAAATCCCCGATTGTAGCACTCTACAATCGGGGATTTTGAAGATTCGCGAAAGCGGCTGTTGCAAGAAAGCTTTTTGGGTTGGACAGTGCGCACATTTGCATCAGCTCAAACTTAGCATCCTAGTACGGTTTTAAGAGACATTACTTAAGGATGCACGAAGCAAAAGTATAGATTTTTGAGAAATTATAAAGAAACTGTACGACGAACTCATACGCAAAATTTGACTTGTAAGCGATGGATACTAACAAAGATACTGCATTGCAAAGTCAGGCTCAAAAAATCTTGAGATTCCTTGAAGAAGGCTATAAAACGTGTTTTCGAAGATTTCAGGTTATATTAGATTGTCCTGAAAGTTCTGTCGTTTCATTTTTAGAAATTTGTAACTTCTTGCTGTCTCAAGGGATTTGCCACTTTTTGAATTTATTAGAAAGAAGAAGTCTTCCTCTTTGTAAAACTTTCCTGCATAGTTCCAACTATACATTCATTGCAGAGATAAGAATGGAAAAAGAAAACCACTTGGGCATTGACCATTTCAAGTTAGGTCGCGAAAAGTCTCGAACGCCGCAGAAAATTCTGAAATTGTCAGTATATAAGTTTTATGACTTACCCTTTTCATCTGAGAAAAATTTGTGCTATTTGACGTCTCTGTGAAAAGTTAAAAATTTCGACTTTACTGCAGAAAATGCTGAAATTAATTGATTTTTCACTTTCCTCGAAAATCATAACTCCTTACAGACACATCCAAACCGCACAAAACTTTTCACATTTGTAAAGAGTAGGTCAAAAAACCTATGTATTAGGTTGTCCCGAAATTTTTGTCCGTTTTTTCAACCTATCATAAAAACGCTTGCAACAAAGATGGGGAAACGCTCTAAGCACTATCCGACGCATCTTTTTCTCCTCTTTTTAACTGTCAGACCCTCATGCCGATTTCTCTTTTGCTCACTGAGATAAACGCCGAAATTTCGAACCCATCGTTTTTACTATGTCCAAGTTTGGCAATTTTTCACAATCTCCATTTTCAACTTTTGGAAGACCTTTGATAGCCTTCAGATAGAGTAAGCAAAGGACAATGCAATGCAATTATTTGGCATATCTAGCTGGCTTTTCCATATTTTTAAAGATAATTTATTAAAAGTCTTCACTTTTGCGAAGTTATAAAATACAGAAACGCCTCGAACACTAACAAATTATTGGATTTTAGAGCTTTCAAAAACCGATAACGATTATTCACTACTAGCTGGCTTACCCGGCTCCGCCGTATCCGGACCAAACTTGGCACACATACACTTCGGGCCCCGGCGGGTGTCACAGTCCACTTTTCGTTATCGATCGATGTCGATTTTACCGATTTTTATCGATTTTTTTGCAGAGTTCACCTACAGGGCTAGGAGTCGGCACAGGGGGGGAAGTGAGCATGGGGATTCCGAATACAATATTAGTTTTCAGAATTATTGATTACTTTTATTGATTTTATCGATTTTTTTGTAAATTTTGACATGCGAGGCTGGGATTTTGCACAGGGGGGGGGGTAATCGAGCATGCTGATTACGAACACAATATCAGTTTTCAAGATCGTCCATTACTTTTATCGATTTTATCGATTTTTTGAAAATTTGAGCTAGGGGGCTGGAATTTGGCACAGGGGTGTAATCGAGCATGCTGATCACTCCCCTTGGGGATGATCAGCATGCTCGATTACCCCCCTGTGCCAACTCCCAGCCCCCTAGCTCAAACTTTGCAAAAAAATCGATAAAATCGATAAAAGTAATCGATAATCCTGAAAACCAATATTGTATTCGGAATCCCCATGCTCGATTACCCCCCTGTGCCAACTCCCAGCCCCGCAGGTCAAACTTTACAAAAAAATCGATAAAATCGATAAAAGTAATCGATAATCCTGAAAACCAATATTGTATTCGGAATCCCCATGCTCGATTATCCCCCTGTGCCAACTCCCAGCCCCGTAGGTGAACTCAGCAAAAAAATCGATAAAATCGATATCGATCGATGACGAAAAGTAGCCTATGACACCCGCCGGGGCCCGAAGTGTATGTGTGCCAAGTTTGGTCCGGATCGGTTCAGAAATGGAATTTTCTATTCGGAACATACGTACACACATACATACATACATACATACATACATACAGACAAACAGACATTCAGCTTTATATATAAGATTTCACGAAGCAAATGAGCGTTTACCGCTTCGAAATATAAGATTTTGCATTTTACGTGTACACGCTGGGGTGGGGGAAGAAGAATTATGAAAATTTTATCGCCAAAGACCATGCAAATTGGAGAGAAAATACACTCACTGGAAAGAGGAGTAAAAGCTGTATCGAATAACGCCTTAGTTGTGCGCCGTTTCATAATCTCTGGCTTTTTTCATCACCAAAAGTGGAATTTGATAGCATCAGAAAAATAATTTTAAAAAATTTTTACGGCTGGCTATAGATGCTGCAAAAGCATTATGTTGCCCTTTGTTTGCTTTATCTAACTGTTGCCAAAGCTTTTCCGAAAGTCAAAAATAAAGATTATGAAAAACTGCCAAACTTGGACAAAGTAAAAACCATGGGTTCGAAATTTCGGCGTTTATCTCAATGAGCAAAAGAGTAATCGGCATGACGGCTTGACAGTTAGAAAGGGGAGGAAAAGATGCGTCGGATAGTGCTTAGAGCGTTGCCCTATCTTCGTTCCAGGCGTTTTTATGATAGGTTGAAAAAACGGACTAAACTTTCGGGACAACCTAATACTTACGTTTTCAGAATTTTCCGCAGCGGTACAGGTTTTTGGCGACCTAACTCAAAATGATAAAACTTCAAATGGACTTCTTTTCCCATTTTTATCTCTGCAACCAGTGTTAGAAGCTAGAAAGGAAAGTGCTCGAAAGCGAAAGACTTACTCTTTCAAATATGATTACAAGGATGCAAATCCGTTGAGTTGGCTCAAATTTACAAATTTCCAAAAATGAAACGACAGAACTTTCGGGACAACCTAATAGTTAGCTTCAATTAGAATAGAATTTTTTACAGAGCTTGAAAAGTCGATTTATCTTGCTCCGTTTATCTGCCGAATATCTGGTAAAAGTCGAGAGCAATATGTGGCCTGTATTTTTAATTGCGCTGGACGTCATCTATTGTGATTATGATAAATTGCAAAATCTTTGACCATGCTTGTGGCAAGCCCTTAATCTCCACCAACAATGTGTAAGTTTTCATGCATACAAAAATGTCAATGACTTTTTCAGGAGAGTGTCTGCACTTTTTTCCCTTTTCAAGTCGTACTAGTTAGTTAGACATATCTTGTCGTCTACATTGCCAGCAATAATCCATTTTTTGAAAGCTAATCAGGCACTATTTCGGACGGAAATCACAGAAGAAAAACTCTTCCGAGCGACTCACCCATTGCACCATGTCGATCCACTGCTCAGCACTTGGATTCGTTACAATTTCCAGCTGATCCAATGTCTTTTCCATGTCGTTGCCAGAATTAGCGCTCAAGCCGTTCGTGCAGAATGGTGACAGCGAAAAAGTGCTCAATTGCACGCATTTTCTATCTATTACTATCTCTAAGAAGGACGCTGACGACTGATGAATTTTACGCTGACGTGCACATCAGCGCAAATTTCATTCGCAGTTACAACGCGAACCTGTCACAAACTGGTATAGGCCGTGCTCGGAGAGCAACGCTGTTGCGCCCGTCGAAGATAGTTCATGATTGAAAGAGGCGCAGAGAAAACAAGCAGCGAGAGTGCACGAGCAGAGAGGAGTGACGCACACCACACACCCTGCGCATTCTCTTCGCCCCGTGCGGACGGCCTATAGCGCAGGACCTTGCAACATTCGATTTTCCAAAGCAAGCTTTCTTTTCTGTAGGCGTTCCTATCAAATTCCTTGCAACATCTCTCTGTGTAACTCTGATTACGTAATTTTTTGACCGGTTTACAAACAATTCGTTGGGTTGTGCGTATACTGCTAGTTCGGAACTTTCTAAACGTGTATGGACCTTCAACAACATACAAAAACTTTATGAGATTTAGCCACGGGTTTGGAAACATCTAGGTGGAGCTCTAGCCGGAAGGCTACTTCTACATTTAGGACGTATCATTCATTTTAGGACTAGGAGACGCGAAACCACATGGCACACATTGTCTAAACAAGCTTAATCACACAGTTATCAGGTTTGTACTTGTTATTTTATCTCGTCCAGGTTTATTCACTCTTTGGAAACAGGGAAGAACAAACTCAAACTTGTTAAGACAATGCCGGCGCGGTCACGCGTCTCCTGGTCATAGAATAGATGATAACTATGGCATTGCAAATGTGCTCTGATCGTAAACGTCAGAAATCGGAGAAATGTCCTAATCGGAATGTGTTGATTTGACATTCCTTGAGTTGTTGAGAAATGTGTCAACTATTGATTGACGGAAGTACATTTTAAAACGTGCATAGCCCTTTTCTTTGAACGTTTCGGGCAGCAAAGAACAGTCATTTCTTTGTGCGAAGTTAGCAAAAGATTTTTGTACTGCAGAAAAGGACAGTGACAAGAATTGCTATCGGTCGCGATAATCAACCAAAGTTTTTGTTTTTTATTCAGTCAAAAAATTGCCATGTTACTTGCCATGTACGAATAGCGATGGGAGCGCAAAACAATTGGCCATAACGAGTTTTTTCACGAACCTTATAGATAAAGCAAAGTTTTTTTTTTTGCGTGTCTGCATATCTTTGCTACATAGAGTCACGTGCTCTGGCAGCTCTCACTCTTGCAATTTGTGATTAAAGCAAGCGCAACCATTTTTTCGCGTACTTATCGCGTGATTTGGCTAGTAGACAATGTCGCCAAGCTTATCTCTTTGATCATGTTTTTAGCGAAAACTGCAAAAATGTGTTTTCTTCATAGTAATTTTTGGAGTGAATTCGCGGCCATTTTTTACATGTCAATCTTTGCTCAAAATAGAGAAAAAAACAACAAAGACAACGTAGCCGGAAACAGAAACAGAGCCGGTTAAACATCCAAGAAAGAATAAGTAATCAGATAGGCACTATTGCTCAGATCGTTTTCAAAAGAAAAGCCCCCTGCTTGATAAGTAGTTCTTCTCTGTTAGTTGCTTTTTAAACAATGGTTTGAACCGTGACTGATTTTGAGACGATCCTTGACAAGGCATTCGCTTCCCCTGCCTTTCCACTCGTTTCGAAAACGTGTGACCGTATTCATCAACAAACCTTCAGGGTAAAATTTACCCTAAGAGCGCAATCCGGTGTTTAGGAAGCGCAAGATATGCATAGCCTTTGAATATATCTTGAGGGTAAAGCTCACCCCAGAAAGAGATTAACCATTATTCACCAACGCTACCTCAGTGGTAAAATTCACTTTGAGGTAAATCTTACCCCGGAAAGAGATCAAGCCGCATACTTGAACGCTGCTCAGTAAATTTAACCCTATCATAGAGCGAACTCAAATTCAGACTGACACTTCGTACAAAAAAAAGAATCTCTTAATGCATCGTTCATCCTGACGACATTGTTTTGACAACAGATACATAATTGTATTATCATCTCGAACTCTCTATGATATTTTTTTTTGTCTCGTCCAGCCACATCAGAAACTCAGTTACCCTTTCACGAGTACAAGATCTCAGTCTATACGCAGCATTGTATAGGGTCTCTTGGTCGTGAAAATTTTTGGCGCTCAGGCAGTTTGAATTTATTTAAAAAAACAGGTGCGCCCTGTACTCGTAGAAGTAGGTAGAGATTTTGGTTTAGGTTTGTTCGAAAATCTCTACTTTTTCGAAGTCCAATTTTGATTCACCATAAATCTTTCTAGAAATGATCATTGCTAAAGAAATAAAGCATGTTGAAATGTATAGCAATTTCATGCTCATTCATAAAGTATTGCAGTAAGATAAGGAGAGAGATTTTCTAGGCAAAATCGCCAAACATGTTCTTGAAAACTTTTTGAAAAGCCATGACTTGATTCGGAATGTGGTATAATTGCACAACCACCGTGGGGTCAGGCGCGCCAGACTGAGGGGGGGGGGGATATTGTGGGGTAAGAGCAAGGGGAAGGGGGAGTAGTAATCAAGAAGCGAATTTGTTCAAACTGGTGAGGAAATACTACGATCGTGTAAGGTGAGAAAGAAAAATTCAACGGTGAAAATCACAACTCTACAAGAGGAATGACTTCGTGAACAGGCTGCTGATTAAAACGCTGACGACACTGTCGCGCAGTGGTGCGCGACACCTAAAATATCAATTCTAATGTACACAATGGTTCCAATTTGTGTTTACCTAATCGATTTAGGCTCAGAAGATTTTCATGTTGGCTCCTCCTCCTTTTTGGCAAGCTCCGCCCACTCCGAGGCCTTTTAAAAAACTTTTTACGTTCTCAAATCGCATAGAAAAGCTCTTAGATGACTGGGGAATTCTAAGATCACCTTAATTTTAACTCCACTCCCGTTATGCAGGCTCCACCCCTCATTGGCAAGCTCCGCCCACTTTTCAAAAATGCCGGAATTTGCACGAATTCTTTGGTTTTGAGCAATTTCCAGCGTTTTTGAAAAGTGGGCGGAGCTCACCACAAAGGGCGGAGCTGCCCCACCCACCTACATTTTTGTACCTCACGCATAGATACATGCAATACGCACATGGAGCCAGACGTAAAAAGTGTGGAAGAGATTCGTCCACAGGGACACACATTAAAAAAACGGCTCTCGTCAAATAACTCGATTAGCGAAGTCTCAAAATTGTAATCCTTCTACTTTACACATACCATAAGATCACCAAAGAAGCTTTTTATTTATATTGGGTATGATTTCGATTAGCATGCCAAATCACCTCAACGAGCTCTACAATCCATTGTCCCTACCTATTACATTTTCTGGTGTTTCCTAACGTCTAAAAAGCATGATCTTCAAACATGATTAGCTTGGACAGAAGTGAAAAAAGTCAGTTCTTTTTGTATTCATGACGAACTATTGCTCATTGTCAGTCTATGTTAGAAATTGGACTTCATATCGCCTTCAAATAACCGATTAAGAAGTGCTGCGAGTGTTACTCACCGCGTTTTCTACCTCAGGTGCTTCAACTCCACCTATCGCCACAAAGCGAAAACAAGTCGAGATAAGCTCAGGCATCTTTTGTACTTCGAGGTAAGGTGGAAAAAATTCTTCGGTGATAAAGTTAGGCTCAGGCTGCCTGAGCTTTTGAGGGGTTGCGCTTGACCTCTTATTGCCTTCAAAACACAGAAATCACTCCATTCCTGGCATGACTACTGAGCTCATAGCTTCTTCTCGCTACAGTGGAAATTTGCAGTCGAACGCCCCACCTCTAGAAAACTTATGGCCCTTTAATTAGGCCCCCAGATCAAAATCAGCCGTCAAATTACGTGTGATTGTAAAGTGCATTCACAGAAAAGGGCGTACAGTCTCAGGAATTTAAAAACTCTCTGGAAAGGTTGATTAATCCAGAATGTCATACTCTGAAGTTCCGGAGATCAAGAGGAGGAGGAAGGGGTCGTTTGAGGGCTCTCATGGGAGTGGGGGGGGGCCGTTTTCGAAAAACTTGTGCCTGACCTCTTGCTCAACTCTGCTCATTAGTGGCCATTAGCTAGCTGAGTTGTACTTTTGAATTTGAATCTTACCAAATTATAAATTATTAAATTACCAGATTTTATCATAGAAATTTTTGCAAAAAAAAATCCACTCAGTTTGAGGTGGCAAATTTCTTTTGAAATGCTTCTGTTTACCACCGAAAATTAAAAAAAGTTTGTCTACTCCTAGCAATAATGTCCTATGCCTAATCCCGCTATAACAAGTAAAAGTTCACTGATTGCATTGCTCTTGAAGTTTTCGTGCTACTCTTACAGGAATAACAACGGCAGGTTATGTTTAGCTATGAACTTGTAATTTCATGGTTTCTCTATACGTAGCAGAAGTTTCCAGCAAGCACTACATATGTGTCAAAGAGATTTCTAAAGACGAAGAAATTTCCATCTGTCGCTGTAGAATTCATGGCTTCAGAGCAAAGAGCTGATAGAGCTTCATATTACGAAACTCTCTTCAAACTTGCATCCGCTATCGCAGCTGAACTTTGTTGAACAACGAATGCTATCTGAGTCATTGAGCTTCATGTTCGCCAAAACAAAGCCCTTGTTTGGGCATGTGCTTTATACAAGATTGGATTTTTTACTGTAAAAACTCGGCTGAGTAATAATCGTGCAACACTAAATGTCATTAATGTAGCTACAAAACATTCGCCAATATAATCCAAGTCAAAACAGATTATCATTCACTAAAGCTGGACGTTGTCAATTTTCTGAAAGATGCAGGCGGGAAAAAAATCACGAATCATGACAAGCGTTAGACCGAAGTAGAACCTAGTAAAGCCTGGCCAAAGGCTAGCAAAGTTTGCGAGCTGATTTGTCGATGAGAGTGGCACAACAGCAGAAGGAGAAAAAAGAACCCAGTACGTGGCTCGAGCATTTTGTAATGTGAGTTTGTACAGCGCACGCGGGACTAACCCCTTCACCTAAAAAGCGTCAATGAACATCCTGCTGGCCGT